ATCTTACCTGTCTGTCTGTTTTACCTGTCTGTCTGACTGTCCGTCTGTCTGTCTATCTTACCTGTCTGTCTGTTTTACCTGTCTGTCTGGCTGTCCGTCTGTCTGGCTGTCTATCTTACCTGTCTGTCTGTTTTACCTGTCTGTCTGGCTGTCCGTCTGTCTGGCTGTCTATCTTACCTGTCCGTCTGTCTGTCCATCTATCTGTCTGTCTATCTGTCTCTCTGACTGTCTGTCTGTCTGTCTGTCTGTCTATCTATCTCTGTCTATCTGTCTGTCTATCTGTCCGTCTGTCTTTCTGACTGCCTGTCTGTCTGTCTATCTTACCTGTCTATCTGTCTGTTTTACCTGTCTTTCTGACTGCGCGTCTGTCTATCTTCTATCTTAACTATAATGATGATTATAGTTGTTGTTAATGATTTAGTGTTATAGTTATCGTTATAGTTATCGTTAATGATTATCATTCTTGTTATTATTATATTTAACATTAATTATTAACATTATGCATTATAATATTTATGGTTATATAGTTATTGTTAATGATCATCATTATAGTTATCATTATTGATTATTATTATAGTTATTGTTATATTTCACATTAATGAGTCATAGTTATATTTATATATATATATGGTGCAGTCCTGCAGCTTCCTGTGAGTCCAGTTCCTCCAGAGCAAGACCCATAATGCATTACAGCTGTTGTGTGTGTGTCTCTCCGCAGACATAGACGAGTGCACGTTTGCCGACATCTGTGTGAACGGCCGCTGCCGCAACATCCCGGGTCTCTTCCGGTGCCTGTGTGACCCCGGGTACGAGCTGGACCACAGCGGTGGAAACTGCACAGGTGTCAGATCAGCTCACGCACTAGACACATGACACGCGTGACCGGTCCTATCCTCTCCTCTCCACTCATCCCGCTGTTCTCTCTCTCTGTTCTGTGTCAGACGTGAACGAGTGCTCCAAACCCACCACCTGCATCAGTGGCGAGTGTCTGAACACGCCGGGCAGTTACATCTGCAACTGTCCTCTGGACTTTGAGCTCAACCCCACCGGAGTGGGCTGTGTCGGTGAGACACGTTAACCCCGAACACCTCCAGCCGACGCCGCGTGTGCCGTGCCGCAGTACTTATGATGTCGTCTGTCTGTCTGTCTTGCAGACACTCGCTCTGGAAACTGCTACCTGGAGGTGCGTTACCGTGGCGATTTATCCGACAGTCTGGTCTGCTCGACGGAGATCGGCGTGGGCGTGTCCAAAGCCTCCTGCTGCTGTTCTCTCGGTCAGGCCTGGGGGTCACCCTGCGAGACCTGTCCGCTGCTCAACTCCAGTGAGCCTCACACACACACACATGCACACACAAACACACACACATGCACACACAAACACACACACACACACATGCACACACAAACACGCACACATGCACACACAAACACACACACACACACACACACACATACACACACACTCGCACACGCACATACACACACACACACACACACACACACACTCACACAC